GAAATTTCTTAACGGGGCGGGGGGCGGGGAGGCCCCGCCCCGTTGCCATCCCTAATCTAATACCTCCTAAATCAAGTGTTTTATATAGTAAAAACAAAATAAATTAAAGATTGAAACTCTAATTTACAAACCACTTTCATATTTCATCCAGTATAACACTGATCTTTCAATATACATTATTCTTTGCAATATTATTATTTAGTACCTCAATACATATCAATAATCTTTAATTCTTGCTAAACTATAAATATAAGCAATTGTACATAAACCATAAATTCAAACATCATTCTTCCATAAGTAAATTCTTTTACTTACATATAAAAATGGTGGAAGAACCTGAAGAACCCTCATTAGTTTTGCCATCCTTTTCTTTCTCCTCCTTCTCCTCTCTTTTCTTTCTCTCGATTCTTCTTTGCTTCGGCTTCTTCTTTCGACCAGAAATCAAAATCGAGTTGATCGATTTAGGTAAATTCCAACCCAAACTAATTGAGTCCAGCTATTGAAACCGAATCAATAGGTTTGGTTTGGTTTGGTTAATTAGTTGGTAGAAAATTGGCTTAATAGGGCTACTTTTGGTATAATTTTGAGCGGGACCCGTTCGTTCATTTTGAAAGATCAAAGTTGATTTATGTTCTCATTCGTGAGAATATCGAAATCATATATTTACTTACCAAAAATTATAATCGGGTGAATGAGAAACTAAGGCTCAAAGTGATAAATTGGAAGAGGTTTTGTAATATTGGTGGGAAACTAATTCAAGTTGTCTAAATAGAAAAATGATAAAGGCCATGACCACTTTAGATATGATTACACTTTAGAAGTGTGTAATCATGTGTGGCATAGAGGCTCACTCCACATTGATAGCCTAATGATAACTAACCAAGATGGAGATTTTCGAAGAATTAATCTAAATTCAAACAAGTAAAGCTAAATAGATCAATTTAAATAATAGGTGCAAATATGAAAGACATAAATAAAAGAAAGAGTTGGCACAAATAATGTAATTGTGGAGGTTTGATCCAAAGCAATAATCTACGTCATCTGTTACCATACTCTCTGGTACGAGTAAGACATTTTTACTATATTGATTGACTTATGGTGCAATCCAAAACTATACAATATTTTCAGTGGTTATACGATATTGAGCTTTACGGGACCTCAACACGACTCACTATTGATCTTTAACGAGACCTCAACTCACACAGTGATTTATAACAAGGAGTACTGATCCTTATTTAATGTTGATCTTTGCAGAATTTCAACACGACCTACACTTTATCAAAATGATTTTACAATGAAATTCCTCTTTTGATAAATAATACAAATAAGTTATGTACTAAGAGATGATAACGCTTCAATGAATAATAACAAATAATAGCTCAAATGTTAGATGAAAAACTTTGATAAATATAATAGATCAAAAACATATTCAACCAATCAAAAAATTTCAACGAGAACATGAAAAAGAGTCGAACGCAATTTTAGTTCAAATTTCTTCTCAAAACATCTCTCTTTTTTAATGGATAATTGTAATAAATGAAGTACTAAGAGAGGAATGAGAAATTTTTTTGCTAATGATGATGATTTTACAAGTTTGATTTAATCACTCAACGTTTTCAATATGAAAAAGTGGAAATATTTATGCAATATAAATGTAAAGATCTTTTTCAAAAAATATCTCTTTTAAAATTGATATAAATAATTTAAATACAAAGAGAGATGAAAAAATTTTGATAAGGGAAACGATTTCAGAAGTTTGATTCAATAATTAAAGTTTTTGTTATGAAAGAAATAAATGAATTAAATGTAAAAATGTAGGCTCAAAAGAAGATTTTTCACAAACGTATTTCATAAGAAAGTTCTCTTCTAGTTGTTGTTGTAATGAATGTAAAGTGAAATGGTATTTACAGCGGTCAAAATGTCAATTTTTGACCAATCGGACAACCCATGTGTATATTTGTATACTGAACTGGACGACCAAACTGGCCATTGTTTGTCGAATTCAAAACTGTTAAAAATTTGACTTTTGTATGAATCAGACATCCTCTTGGACAGTGTTTTCCCCCGAATTTTTCTTTCTTGATTGTTTTGAAAAATATAAGCTTTTGAACGACGTTTTTACTTAATTCTTCAAGATAAGTAACACCCGTAAAAAGTTCAAATAACAAGCTGAAACCTTACATTTTGAAAAATAATTTTTATGCAAGCGTTTTTATGAAGTAATTTTTTCTCATGCATAAAAATTCATCTTTTGAGTTTTTAATGATTGATTGCTAATGATTAAAATATTAGTACATTTTTATTTGAACTATATTTCGAAGTTTGTCTCTTAGACGTCTTGATAATTCTTTGATAGCATCTCTCATGTTCTTGATCTTGATCCTTCTTGACGTTTATCTTTTAAGTTCTCGAGTCGAATAATTTTACTTGAATTGAATTCGATTTATAATGCTTGATTGATTTTAACACTAAAATGTCATCATTTAAAATCAATTGTTAGGAACAATATTAATCTTGTTTGTTATGATCAAAATATTAAGGATGAAATCAACTATAGGTCAACCCACGTACGCCATAAGGGGTGCAAATCAAGGACCGAATTGTACCTCAAACCTTAAACTTGTGTACGAGCTGACCTGCATACACAACTGTCGGATTGAATGGACCAAAATTGGCCTCTTAAGAGGGTTCATGTTTCAGGTTTATTTCCTATATTGTTTTAATTTTTTTCTTCCAAGTGGCTATAACGCTTTTAACTCCCGATTCATCATGCCTTCAAGAAGAGCTTATTTAGATATTCAATTTCTTC